AAAAAAAAATAACAACAACAAAAATAGCATATTTTTCTAAAGAACTGCGAAATACTCCTTCATCTCCATCAAAATTGACTTCTTCTATCTATCTACTTTTTTATCGGTTTTTAATGTTTTCTTTGAGTCACATCTACTCGACAGCCATTCTAAAACTTTAAAAAACCATTTCTGAATAAATAAAAAAAATATGTGTACCTATTCTAATAAGGCTACTTAGCCGCTTATTTTGTACTGCATCTAATTCGTTAAAGTTAAGCTGTTTTTTAAGGAGGAAAGATTTGGAAGCTAAAAAAACCAAATCTTTGAATGATTGTAGAGAAAGTATTCAGCACGCGATAATCATGCAAGAATCAAATGATCGCAAAAGATCTTCAAGCTTTAAAACTGCTGTTGCTCATGATACGATAACAATCGACTATAATAAACTGGAAACACTAAAAGTTAGAAAAAATTGGTCTTATCATTTAGTATATAAACTATCTGAATATTGTTATTCATTGAGAAACTATTTCCCAAGCACCAAGACCTAAAAGCATAATGGTAACGATCTTCATAATTTAGCGCGATTTACTAAACTCTACAGCACATTTTCCAGTCCATTCTCCCTACCGTTTCAAAACCTTTTCTTCCGTAGCTTGTCTTTCTGCTTTAACAATTTATGCTGTCTAATCAGTTGTTTTGCAGAGATCTGTCGAAGAATGAAAAGAATTTTGGCAAAAACTTCATCAAACTTCATAAGCACTTCTGACGCAGTGGTCAATTTGTGCGAATTCGGTTGACTGTTGACAACTTATCGCAACCAACAACTTCTTTGTGGTGCTTGAATATTGGTATCCATTGAACGTTCCAGGTTTTTTTAATTTTTTTAATGATAAAAAACAAAAAATGATAGTAATGAATATGTTAAGCGGTCCTGCGCAAGACCAGATTAATAAATGCTGAATTAAGGAGGAATAAATAGAAAGGCAAAAAATCAAAAGGTTTTCCGTTAGGCCTCTAATCGTATCAATCAAAAAGTAGAAATAAAATGTTTCAACTATAAGTTTTTTGCTTTACTTCAATATCCACATATGTAACAAAAAAGTATGTGTATTAGTAATTCTTTTGATAGCAATATCGTCTCCAAAAATTGAAAAAGATTTTTTTTTCAAAAAACTAATTAAACAAAAAAGGAATAGCGTTGAACAATTTTAAAACAAAACTTTCAGTAGTATTTGCTTTGTTAAGCAGTTAAGTTTCTACCTGTTCCTTAAGTCCCTTACCGTTGGCATCGTTGAACAATAACGAGGCGAAAAGAATACCGTACAGGAAAAATATTTCTTGGATATTATATATTCTCAGCTACATAAAATGCTGTTTTTCAGTCGAACAATAATAAAGTTCAATAAAGCCCCATTT